TTCGGTCAACGACAGGTGCCAACATCCTCGGGTCGCTCAAGAGCTAGTAATGCACTCCACTCTGCCAAGGGATTTGGAGTTCATGAAAAACTGAGCCCGGCCGAGCTGGTTCAAAGTCTGATGGTGACCACGGCTTCCACTCAGCTTTTGCGGCCGAGATGGCTCACAGATACTGTGCTCTGGTCGAGAGCAGGACACCGGCAAGCTGCAGACTCAGATCTCCAAGTTGGAGAAACAACTGGCGGTGTCCGAATCCGAGAAGGGAGCTTCAGAGGCGGCTTCAAGAGGCTGAAGCTAAGGGTGAGGAGGCCGAGGCTACGATGAATAGTCTCAGATCGCCCTCGAGGAGGAGCAGAAGAGGGGGGACGAGTGAAGAAGTCCCAGCACAAGCCTCGAGTGCTGGAGCCTCGGCGTGGACGCGTTTCGGAGGTCCGAGCCTTCAGGACTCGGCCAACTGCTCACGCCGAACTTCATGTTTGGCTTCACATCGGCCATAGATGAGGCTGCGCTCACCTCTCCTCCGAAGCCTTGGAGTCTTGAAAAACATGCCAGCTACAATGAGGACTCCAAGGAGTTATGTGACGGATGGCCGAAGGCCTCCAGGCAAGGAATGGCCGAAGTCCAGGTCGAGTTCAACAAGTGGCTGTCCGAACTCGACGAGTGTTCGAGGAGGTGAAGAGAAGAAACTGGAGAGGATGCCGGGGGAGACGAAGCCGGAGGGGACGTCGGCAAAGAGCCTGGAGATGAAGTTCACCCCGGCGGAAAGGAGGCCGAAGAGATGGATGCCCAGGAGGGAGCCAAGACCGGGGATGCAGCCGATACGGGGGTTTAGGCTTGTAGGCTTCAAGGGGGTGGCCGAGGTGAAGTGCTTAGTAGCACTCCGACCTCGGCCTTGTATTTTTTGTAATACTTCTTGAATGAAAGTCTGTTTCTTTTCATCTCAGCTCTTTAATTCTTGTTTCTTGCTTTGACTTCATCCCTTGTTTGTCCCCCTTATTTTTTAATAAAGGTGCTGGGCATCATATTGTTGAAAAATAACTAAATGCTGAAGTCATAACTTGACAAGATAATTGGATGAAATAACTGAATGAAGTCACAACTTCAAGCATAATACAACCTAAGGTTCTCGGCGTGCCAAGACCTCGGCACTAATGAGCCATCTCGGTAACTCAGTTTACAATACCCTTTAGGGTCAGATTCCACAACTCGGTAAGGGCCTTCCCATTTCGGGCAATTTTCCTTGAGGCTCAGCTCGGCTGACTGAATTTTTCCTGAGAACCAAGTCTCCAGGACGGAATCTACGATGTCTGACACGGGCATTGTAATAGCGTGCCAGTGTGTTCTTGTATGAAGCTATCCGGGCTGAGGCGAGGTCCCTTCGTTCTTCGACGAGGTCGAGGTCCAGCTGCCTCTCTTCGTCGTTCACCTCGGCGGCATAGGCTGCCAGCCGAGGGCTGGGAGTAAGGATCTCAGCCGGGATGACAGCTTCGGCGCCATAGGTCAGGGAGAATGGGGTCTCTTGCGTCGCTGACCTCGGCGTGGTCCGATATGACCACAAGACACTGGGGAGTTCCTCCACCCAAGATGACCCAGCTTGGTGTAGTCGGGTCTTGAGGCCATGCAGGAGAGTCCGGTTGAAGTTTTCTGCTTGACCATTGGCCTGGGGGTGGCCAACCGAAGTGAAGTGTTGCTTGATGCCGAGGTTCTCGCACCAGGTCTTGAATGGATTCTCGGCAAATTGTCTCCCATTGTCCGAGATGATGATCTGAGGTATGCCGAAGCGGCAGACAATGCACTTCCAAAAGAATTTTTGAATGGCCAGCCCCGAGATGGTCCGAAGTGGCTCGGCCTCGACCCACTTAGTGAAGTAGTCCACAGCAGTCACCAGGAAGGTATAGCCCCCGACCGCTTTAGGGAAAGGACCTATGATATCTGTCCCCCATTGCTCGAATGGCCAAGGTGAAGTGATGGGGACCATGAAATTTGAGGGCTGGTGATGCTCGGGTGCATGGACTTGGCAGGAAGGACAGCCGAGACGAGGTCCTGGGAGTCTTGCCGAAGTGACGGCCAGAAGTATCCAAGGAGCATAGTCTTCTTGGCTAACATCCTGTGGCCGACTGTGAGCTCCGCACAGGCCTTCGTGGATCTCGTGGAGGATATGAACGTCCGGCCTCGGGAGTGACACACCTCAGCCAGGGCCGAGGTAAGAGCGTTTGTACAATTCTCCATCGCGGAGAGCGTACGAGCCGCCTTGCGTTGTATTCTTCTCGCCTCGGCTCGGTCTTCAGGGAGTGTTCCCTGACCAAGAAAAGGATGAACGGGGTCATCCAGGTATCTTCGGAGTGCACGGGGCAGGCCACCTCTTCCACATATCCGGTTCATCAGAACTTCCACTAAGACCGTTTGTTGAGGTCAGAGAATGAAGTGGAGGCCAGCCGGGATAAGGCGTCGGCTCGCTTATTCTGGGACCGGGGGATTCTTTGGATTTCGAATGACTTGAAGTACGCGGTGAGTTGGTGAACCTTGGAGAGGTACGTTGCATGGTCTCATCCTTGCCTCGTATCACCAGAACTTGGCGCACAACAAGTTGGGAGTCACTGCGGACGTGGATTGCTGGGCGCCGAGCCTTCGGGCCAGCTGGAGTCCAGCAATTAAGCCTCGTATCGGCTTCATTATTGGTGGCTGGAAGCCAAAGCGGAGGGCGTAGGAGCACACCTCTCCCTGAGGTCCTTCCAGAGAAGTCCGGCCCGCTGCCTCTCCATTAGAGATCCATCGACATACAATGTCCATGGGGATGAAGTGGACACTTCAGCTCCGGCGGAGGCGGACTCCGGACCTTCCGTGAAGGTCAGCTCGGCGAGGAAGTCGCTAAGGCTTGTGCCTTTATAGCTGTGCGAGGCTCGTATGTTAAGTCATACTCTCCCAACTCGACAGCCCACTTGGTGAGGCGACCAGACTTCGGGTCGCACCAATATTTGCCGAATGGGCTGGTCAGTCCTGACCGAGATAGGATGGGCTAAGAAATAGGGCTTCAACCGCCGAGCGGCATGGACTAGTCCCAGCACCAGTTTCTCCACCTGAGTGTATCGAGTCTCCGGCCCGCGAAGAGCTCGGCTGACGTAGTAGATCGGCACTTGGGTGCCCTCATCTCGGATGAGCACAGCGCTGACAGCCTCGTCGGCTGCAGAGAGGTAGAGGTAGAGCTTTTCCTCGGGCCGAGGTGAAGCGAGAGTGGGCAGGTGGTGCAAGTACTGCTTCAGCTGGTCGAAGGCAGACTGACACTCTCCTCAGTCCAGGCGAACTGATCAGACTTCTTCAGCACTTTAAAGAAGGGCAAGGCCTTCTCAGCAGATTGAGACAAAAAGCGGTTCAGTGCGGCCAGGCGTCCATTCAGTCTTTGGACTTCTCGGAGGTTCCGAGGTGGGGACATATCTTGAATGGCCTTGACTTTGTCGGGGTTGGCCTCGATTCCCCGGTGGGAAACCAGATACCCCAGAATTTTCCCGAGGTGACGCCGAAGACGCACTTCTTGGGATTCAGCTTCATCCTCGAGTCTCGCAGGACCCCGAAGACTTCCCTCAAGTCTAACAGGAAGGATGAAGTGGCGAGACTTTTGACGAGGATGTCATCCACATAAGCCTCCACATTACGGCCGATCTGATTCTTGAAGAGTCGGTTGATCAGCCTTTGGTAGGTCGCCCCGGCGTTCTTTAGCCCAAATGGCATGGTGGTGTAGCAATAAACACCTGGTCGGTGTAGAACGCCGTCTTCTCTTGGTCCTCTTCACTCATTCCTATTTGATGATACCCTTTGAAGGCATCTAGGAAGCAAAGGATCTCGTACCCCATCGCCGAGTCGACGAGGGTGTCTATCCTCGGGAGGGGATAGCAGTCTTTGGGACAGGCCTTGTTGAGGTCGGTGTAGTCTACACACATTCTCCATCCGCCGGTGTCCTTTTTGACCATGACTGGGTTGGACAACCAGGTCGGATATTGGACTTCGTGGATCATCTTGGCCGGCAAGAGCTTGTCGACCTCGTCCGATATGGCCTTGCTGCGTTCGGGGCCGAAGTGTCTTCGCTTCTGCCGCACAGGTCGGGCCTGTGGGTTAACGTTAAGTTGGTGAGTCATAAGCTCGGGTGGCACTCCGACCACTTCATCTGCGGACCACGCAAAGATGTCTCGGTGGTCCTTGATCAGGGAGATCACTTCTTCTTTCAGGGGTGAAGGGAGTCCGGCCCCTACTTGGACCACTTGGTCAGGCTTGGCTTCATCCAAGACCACTTGTTCCACTTCATCCCCGGCTCAAGCCTGCTGGGCTCTCCTGCCTTATGAGGGTCGATGCAGTCTATGGAGAGGACAGCCGGCCTCTTTTCTTCTGACCTCGGCGGGGCTGAGGTCCGACTGCGGCTTGGATGGTGGCGAGATAGCATTCTCGGGCGGCGCCCACACGCTGCTCACCTCGCCACCCCTCTGGCGTTGGAAATTGAAGCTCAGGTGGTAGGTAGAATATACGGCTCTCAAGGCATTGAGCGTGGGCCGGCCTATCAGCATGTTGTAAGGAGAGTCCGCTTTGACCACCGCAAAGCTGACAGGCACAGTTCGGCAACGGGGATGACGCCCGATAGTCACCATTAAATTCACCATGCCTTCCGGGTGGACGACGTGTCCCCCGAAGCCGACAAGGGGAGTTCTGACCGGAGTGAGTTGTTCCCGGGTTAGCTTCAAACTCTCGAAAGTTCGGTAGTACAGGACGTCTACCGAGCTTCCGGGGTCAACGTAGACCTTTTGACTATATAATTGTTTGTGAGGACCTCAATCACGAGGGCTCGTGATTGCTGGAGGCAGCGGGGACAGGGTCGCGGGGACCATAGTTATCACCTCGGACAGCCTCGAGCTCGGCTCGGCCACATCCATGCCGGCTTGGCGGTAGGTCCGCTTTCGGGAGCTCTGGCTGTCTCCTCCCGTGGGCCACCTGAGATGGTGTTGATCACCCCGGCAATGTTTGGGCCATAGCCTGGTGATCCGTCGCGTGGAGGCCTTTGGTCCCCCTGTGGTCCTCAGGACCTCGGCAGTTGAGCTTGGTGTCCCGCCTGTCTTCTCGGCGAGGACCTCGGCTCTCCCGGTGGGAGGCACTTCGTCCGAAGCTTCCATCTTTGCGGACAAATTGTTTCAAGTGTCCTTGCCGAATTAGGTTTTCGATCTCTCGTTTCAGATCGTTGCAGTCTTCGGTCTCGTGCCCAACATCTCGATGGTAGGCACAGTAGAGGCTGGAGTTCCTCCTATCTCTTCTTCCAGGGATCTCAGGAGGTGTTCGGCCGAGGTGGTTCTGCCTCATCACAGCCAAGACATGAGATCGGCTGGAATTGAGCGGTGTTAGCTCAGCGTCCGAGGTGGAAGATCTTCCTTTCACGATCCGGTCAAAGACACTCCGGCGGTCCCGGGTGGGTTTGAAGTGCCACTTGGGCCGGGTTCACCTCGGCCGATGTCTTTCCTTCTCCGGGTATCTTGTCCCGTACGAGAGGCTTGGGCTTCTCGCTTCATGCGATTCACATCTTCACTTCGGATTCCCTGGTCCACTCTTTCCCAGAGTTCGTGAAGTGTACGAGGGTAATCCCGATGGATTTCGGTGTTGAAGAGTCCGGCCACCAACCCGTTGGTAAAGGCCGCGAGAGTTACCTGCTCGTTCTGATCAGGTATTTGCACATTCTCCTCGTTGAACCTCTGAGCATACGAGCGAAGAGACTCGCCCTGACCCTGTTGAAGGTTCAAGAGATAAGCTGAAGTCTTCGTGATTGGTCGAGACGACACGAAGCGGTGGATGAACCGGTCTATCAGCTCATCCAGGGAGGAAATGCTCCCTGGTTCCAAACTCCAGAACCACTTCCGGGCAGTCCCATGTAGGAAAATGGGGAAAGCCCGACAAATCACGGCGTCGGGGACGCAGTAGAGTCGGAATGCGGAGATGAAGGCGCGGAGGTGATCCTCGGGGTCACCTCGGCCGTCATAGGTGTGCAAGTTTGGAAGCTTGAAGTTCGGGGGCACCCTTTCCCCATTGATGTCATCCGTAAAGGGCGGAGCCCTCATGTAGTCCGAAGCTAGGCCCCCGGGGCGCCGAGGTGGGTCCTCGCTCGCCCCCCTAGGAGTCCTCGAGAAAACGCTCGGGAGATGGAGGCAATTTTAGAGGTCGCCTTGGAGGAGGCGCCTGGAGGTACTCCGAGAGACGCCCCTCATCGGAGTCTTCATCTGAAGGTGCCTCAGGGGACTTCGTCGGCCTCCTCTTGGAAGACTCGGCCTTTTCTTTCCCCTGTCTTTTGAGGTACCTTCCTAGCTCCTCAAAAATGGTAGGGTTGTGTGATACGAACTCGGCCATCTTGGCGATGGCATCATCGTTGTTTGGCTGGGTCCTTTGGGACCCTTGCTCTTCAGAGATGCGGTCTTGCTGGGCTCCGAGGTCTGCCCAGCCCCGTTGAGGGAACTCGACCGCTTCTGGAACGCGTGGATCTCATTTTAGTAGTGTCTCGTTCCCACAGACGGCGCCAATTGAGGAGGTGATTTTTGGTTGGTAACTAGACCGACCTGGATCAGTCCTCTCTGAGATGAAGTGAGGTGAACTCCTGTGTCCGAAGTGATCCTCGTCCGAAGTGAGTGGCGGGGCTTCTCCCCTGGTATCACTCCGACGATCAAGTTAGTATGAGAACGAGAATAATGAGAATGAGTTAATGAACAGTGTCTGCTTACTTGTTGGGAGTGTGAGTAGGTATTTAGAAGAGAGGTGGTCAAGACGGAAGGCTCATGCTAGCGGGACCCACTCTCTGGCATTACGGCTCTGTCTCCTGTCAGGAAGTCTGACTCTGACACTGTAGCCGCCTGGGAGTGATGACGGAGGATTGAGTGCAGTGCTTTTCAGATAAAGTGCTGGTCCTGGATGATGTCAGGTGGGTTGACATCATCAGCGTGCAGCCGAGGTGGATGTGCCGAGGTCACCTACACAGTAGGCTAGGGAGACGGCCGTGGCCGAGCTCAGGGATGATCCCCGGGACACGGGTGAGCTCTGATGAGGGACGAGGTGACTTCACCTCGGACACGCGGGGTGGCCGAGGTGAGCACCCTCACAAGACAACAAAATTGTAAACCTTACTTGCAACAATTACAATTTACAGACAAATGCAATTTGCCATGGTGCCAGGACAAACCCGAAACTTAGAGAAAATGGGACATAGACCGTCTATCCAAGTATTTGCCAAGTTAGAGAAAATGTATGTTTTAGTAGCTGCTGCTCATAATTTATTCGCCTACTTAGAGAAAATAATGTATGTTGCTCATGATTGCTTATGATTGCATTGGAAAGAAGTGGAGTGAAAAATCAAGCTGGTGCAATTGATACTTTGTCAATCTCAATGATATACTCAAGGGTAGCAGATGGAGGAATTTGCACTCCTGAACCTAGATCTGCTCCTTCCTCTCCAAAACACAGATTAGGAGGTATGATTACTCTCCTCTTGCCACCTGCCTTCATGGTCCTCAAAACATTTTCCACCCCATCACAGATTCCTTTACTATAAGGCCTTGATCCCATGACAAGTGCTAGAGGCTTCCTATCACCACCAAAGGTATCAATCAACACTTCATCACTGTCTTGCAGCTTTGCTTTAACATCAAGCACAACTAGGTCTCCAGGTCTTGGTGATGCACCGCCGCCAACTCTCAAATCATAGTACCTGAAGTAAGACTACTGTATTCAGAAGAAAGGCATCTGGAGTAAACTTAAGAAGTTGCTAGTATTGCTTCAATGTCAGCACTCAGCATAATAATGTACCTTATGCCATTAGGCAGAATTACCTCCTCTTCCTTCTCAACATCCCTGTGAGAACAAAAAGGGTTACAAACATTGGCAAATGCTTTTGGATTGAGAACGAAACCAAGAAAGGTTAGAACCATTGTAAGGCGTGTTTAGGGCGAGCTCCTAGGCGAGGCAATGCCCCGAGACATTTGAACAGGGACGCAAGTATTGTTGGGCATTTGTCCCATGCCCCACACTACGAGGTGAATGCCTAGGGGTTGGATGTATGGGGTGTTTTTATATTATTGTCTTTTTTTTATTTTAAACTATAATTTTACTATTTTATCTTCCTTACCTTTCTAGAGGCTTTCGCCTGGTAAGGGGACATAAGATGTCTCTCCCAACATCCCTGCCTTTTAAACATTGGTTAGAAACTAATCGTCCCATAAAAATGAATGCTCAAAGTGCACTTTGGCCAAATCAGTGCCAATTGCAATCCAGTTTTATCTTTCTCCTCGCCACACGCTACTACTTGATAATTGACAAGGATCCTCGTTCTTTCTTGACATAGCTTTGCTTTTTCATTTTAGTATTTTACCAAGAAACTAACCTCTTGTAGTACTACATTGGTGAATTATGTTTCTTTATCTGCATTGCATCTCAAGTTTTTCATCCCCATTTAGAGAACAATTCACGGAATGATATAATTCTTTCCAGAGAACAGTCTACCTTGTGTCAGCTGCTTCTTGAGAAACTTCTAAACGAGTCTTGATTTGTTCAGAAATGACTCCAACAGCCAGGAAACCAACCCATGCAAGACCAGCACCAAGGCCAAATCTCCTGGTTAAGGTGGATGCAATCCAATCAGTTGATTCTACTCTTGCAGGAATGGCAGGCTTACTAGCCTTTTCCTCTTGCACTTTCACTGTGGCTGCTGATGGTGGCTCTGCAGAAGTTGCACTCAGCTTTTGAGAAGGTGTAGGTTGGGTTGGTTGCTGGGGAGGTGGGGCTTGTGGAGATGAACACAGGCGGTTAGTTCTTGAAATTGGGTGAGACGGAAATGGTGGGGATCCAAAGAAGGTTGCCATTTCCTCACACAACAAAAAATGTTAGAAGTCAAACATAGGAGCTAGCGGAAGGATATTTGTACTTGCGGCAGCAAAAGGAGGGAAGATTGGTCCCTACCTTATCTTGATGTGAGGATTGTTGTGGTAGTACCCTCTGCCTCTGGCCGCCCCTATTGAAGGCTTTAAAACTACTCGATGAAAGCTGTAAAAGCAGTAAGATATTCAGTTTTAATTTTTGTCCGTCAGGATTCATCAGGTTCAGGCAGAATGATACAACTGGCGTCCTAATATGATCAATACGCTGCGGGCCCTGTAATTTGCCAGTAATGGATGAATTGAATCAAGTAAACAGTAGAAGTAATAAACTAACAATATCTAAATAATCACAAAAAAAGGAAAAAAGAAAAAATCGGCTGAAGTAGAGATGGAATATATAAGAAACTTAAAATTCACAATGTAATTATACTCCATTGCTAGATTTTTTTTATTGATAAAACGATCTTAATTGTGGTCAATTGCACAAAACTTAAAGAAATTATAATTATACACAAATAAAACTAAATTTTGTGTATGACGTTTAAATTAGTTGAATTTTTGAAATCCAAACCAAAGCCGTCATTACCTTCTATCCCTCTACCTATGTTTCACAATCTTTTTCACGTTCTCCTTTGGTTGGATTTAACTATTCCAAAAATTTGAGATTTTTCTCGTTAGGACAAATTTATCAAGCGATAACATAACCCAAGCCGTTGGAATTGTTTCCACCTCCAGTGGCAGTTGGCTTGTTAGAGTACACCACAAACCATGCTTTGAAGAATGCCGATAAGAGTCCCATTGAGCCACAACAACGACATCATGCTCGGTTTCACAGGGGTGCAAGGTATGTTTGGTGTCGAGGTGGGCTATACTAACACCACCCATGCTTAACAACCACGTCGCAAAAACATGGATGGTAGAAAGGACAGCCATAGTCAAGACCAAGACTAGGTCAGCGTAAATGGATTGGTAAACTCGGCTCATAATGTTCCAAATGTGGCCAATTAGGTGGCAGCAATGGTGGTCTGGCCGCGAGGGAGGTACAGTGACATTAATGTCGATATACACAGATAATGGTGATGAGGGGGGAGGTGGCGATGGTAAGGAGATTGGTTGAGTGAGATGAGGAGGAAGGGAGAGGCAACGGTGGTGACGAGGAAGGGGAAGAAGGTGAGAAAGCGAAATTGAGGGACGAAAAAGAAAAGAAATCATCATGCGACGGACGAGGAGGAAGAATTGGCCATCGGAAGAAGAATCGAGGGGCGAGAGCAAGAATTGGATGGACGTTTTGGCAGCCGGTATATTGGATTTTGCCGGTAGCAAGGGAGGTTTTAAACCTCTTGCCATTCTTCACATTTCCTACTTCCATTTTCATGGAAGGACGAAAATGAAAGTGACACTAAATCAGCAGCAAGCAACAAACAATAGCGACGAATAAGGATGAGAAACCAAAAAAGGGAGGAGGCAGAAGAAGAATGACGGAGAAGTCAACTAGTATGTGTATTCCTACTTGACCACCAGTCTTGCAAGTAGATATGTCCACGTAATTTCGTGGATATTGCTAGAACGTGGGCCGAGTTTGGGCCACTTCAGGAAAACATGTAACAGATCATTAAGCTGTGGAGACTATCACAGGGAAGGAGACTATAAAACATATTATTATGTTCTCCATCTTTACATAAGAAAAGCTGCCAATGTTGGTCAACTAATTGATCCGTTTGTGCCGTCAACCAAACTAGCTTATTATTAAGTTGTAGTTTCTAAGGTTACAGTTACTGGTGATGGCCGAGGCATGGAAGTGAAACAATGCAGTACCGAAATAGTAAGAGGAATGCCAGAGCTGAGGTTGTGCTATGAAGATGGAGTTCGATGAATTTTTTGAGGTTTTGTGTCCCGGAAGCAACCATGGTCCTAAAACTTCCTCTGGTGTTGCCGTGATTGGTAGGGCGCAAATTATGATGCCAACCAAACGTAAAGATTTTGGCATGCGAACACACGAACTCGTTAGTCGTTACGCTAGCCGAATCAGAGAAGAAAGTTGAAGGTTTTATCCATTTGGATATGAAGTTAGGAGTGAGGTGGCGCAGGAGACGTAGCCCTACCGAGTTAGTAACTAGGGAATTAAGTTAAACGGTGTTAAACAGTTAGATGATCACTTCATTCACCAAACTTAATTCAGTCATAACTAAATTTGTTTTCCTCAAAGATTTCCCAATACTTGAATGCAGTTATTATAACTGCTTGCATCAACGTCGTCAATATTAGAAAAGCCATCCTAAGTGCTCAGGGGAGTTTATTTATTTATTTTACCTAGCCTTGAAAACTTGTTTTTCTACATCAAAATGCAGCACAAATTTATCTTGTTAGGCCTTCCAAGCACATGAAAAAGTCTATATCGGAGATTGTAGTTAGCCGTAACAGGAGGAAGTCTCCACCATAACCTTTTCCCAATGGAAGTATGGACTGAAATATATTTGGATAATTGATTACATTTCTATACACGTGCATTCAGTATTTAAAAAATTGCCTTGCACAAAGGTGACAATCAAGGAATGCAAACAACTAATCGAATCAGACACCTCCAGTTTTATTCATATTCTCCAGCGAAACAACGGCACCGGAGCTGGCCTCATTTGAGGGTGGGGAGTGTGACAGTAAGATATAAATGACCCAAAGATGAAGGCATGCAAGGTATATGAAAGACGATATTCTTGCTGCGAAGTTTCTTCTCAAAAATACAGCACCTGCGCAATAGATTGAATCCAACTGTTGAACCAATGATCCCAGATGTCGCTTGCCTGATCGAAGTCTCTCCTGAAACAGAGGTCTTAACTTCGAATTTGGTAGCTCCCATACTCCTGATTCTAAATCCCCCCTGGATGAGGAGGTGCTTGGGATATCAGAAGAGTCAACCATGGATTTCTTATCATTCAGCGACTTCGAAACAGCCTAGAGCATAAAATAAACACTATTAGCAAAATATCAACAGCTAAACACTCAAGTTTTGCAGCAAACTTAATTCAGGATCACAATTCACCTCAATCCTGAAAAGCAGCATGGCCTTCTCAGAGGAGAGTGCCTCCGCCTGGTAAAGTGTGCCAAAAATTAAGAAATTCGGTCATTCAAAGGCCAGGATACTAAATGACATCTAACATCCAAGTAAGCAATTCAGGATTAGTCAGCAAGTATCATTAAGCTATTTCCTGTTTATTTTTGCATCTAAAAGAACTTTGGTCAACATTAAAGATCTTGCATCCTTCCATCTACTGCACCTGCTTGATTGAGCAAAAAAACATGTTGATAATTATCATGTTTGAGATGTTTCTTAAGGATGAACGTACCCTTTATATCCAATTCAGAATTCAAATATCTTATAATTCCTACAACCAACCTGGGCTTGTTTCTGAATCAAATGATCAGTCAACTGACTAAGCCTTCGCTTCAGCTCAACTTCCACTTCAGTTGGATGCTCTAGTTCCCTTTTTGTCGATTCAATACTTTTTTCAAGTGTCATCGCCTATTTACATGGAAAGAATTGATCTAAACTTACTTATAGTTCACAGAATTAAACTTATGAAAAGGCAAGGATAATGTTCACCTTCTCCTGCAACCTCCCAACTTTATCTGTTAAAAATGAATTCTCAGCCTCAAGTATTTCCCTTTCAAGTTCAACTCCTTTTGAAGCTGCCACCTGAAGATTCATGATGCAACCCGGGTTATTTAGCGGAGAGCATTAATATGTTAAGGCACATAAACAAGCAGACATCACTCACATTTTTGCTGCTCTGATGAGTATTTGAAATTTTCCTTCTCAGTTCTACAGAGACGAACAAATCCCAGTAAGCAAGCCATGAATCTCTCCTCCAGAAATTAGTCAAGATAAAAAGAAAGATCATCTATGATGTACTTGAATATGGCAACGGAGTTTTATCAGACCACTTGCATTCTCATTTTTCTTCTCCACGAATGAAAACTCATTTAACAATCCTTAGCCCTTGATCCACAAACCTTCAAGACAATTAACAAAGATCCAAGGACCATACCTTCTTGAGTGAACTCTTTTAACTCAATATGTCGACGAAGAGCTGAAATCCGATTGGTCTACCCAAAGAGGGGGGGGATACAAAAGAAAAAGAAGAATCAATTATTCTACTCACTCAAAAATTCAAAGAAATATGGCACAAGATATGAAACTCATAGAAGTTGCAGTTTCAGGCCATTAGAAACTTATTTGACATGATAATAGCTTAATAAGTACAAGGATAGAAGAGACAAGAGTTGCCACAGTAATTATGAGATTTCAACAAATCCTTAAAGTCAGAGCTTTACCCGCTTGCTTACCTAAAAAATAACCCAAACAAGTTGATGCATAACCAAATAATTAAACAAATTTTCTTGTAACGTAATGTCAGTAGAGTTGGGAAATCTCATACTCATATATCATATTCGTTCAATTTCATGCTGGCACAAACTGTCATTTACAAGTTCTTATGCCTCAAACCATCCTTTCTTCCTTCCCCCGACCCACAAAAAGTGAAATAAAAACACTTTAACAATTAGAAAACATAAAATCACATGCAACCTTTTCTGAATAATAACAATTAACCATAAGCATTAACTGCACAAATGTAAACTAAAACAAACTTTTGCCTGCCCTTTCACAGGGATGACAATTTATTTTTGCCACATGACAAGCTACATAGCCTTCTAATAGTGCAAACCATTCTGACTCAAGGCAAAAATATAAACAGATTAAATTTGTGAATCTTGGAGCTTAACCAATTTCAACAAAACTGAGAAACTCCTCCAAAAAAAATTAAATAAAGAAAATGATAAGAATTATATCAACCTAGGGAAGATCCAGTTTCTCATATACCTCCACTTCAGATCTTTCTGAACAGATGCAAGGGACCTTGCAAGATCAGCATTTGTAGTCTGCAAGGATGACAAGGAATTACATGAGCAAAAGAAATTTCCAGAATCAAGATATTCCAAGACATCCAGGCCCCATTATATGATCCATTAGAAAGGACTATCACAACAATAAGCATCCAAAAACCTCACAAAAGAACACAGAACCATTTAGAAGCCACTAAATCATAGAAGACGTTTGCAAGAAGCGATCATACCTCAAGTTTAGCCAAACGAGCTAAGGCTTCCATTCTAGTGTTATTATGCTTTTGCTTTTCTAGTTCAACAGCTTCCATAGTTTCCATCGTTGTTGTCTGCAATTCTGATGCCTGAATCAAACAAACAGATGAAGGAATTAATTGTTCTAAAACTAACTAGAAAGAAAAGAACACTAAAAACAACTGAGGAATTAACGAACTTCAAACAGAAGTATCAGCAGCAGAAAAGAGGTCCAGAGACAGGACAGGTAAATCACTGACATAAATGACAATTCCGATAAACTAGCACCGATGTCTCTTCACATGCAAGAAAAGTTCATATTTTGGTGAACCCCCTAAAACACAATTAGAAGAATTCATAAGATCATAATGAAAGCAACAAAGAACCGAGAAAAGCAAGCCGAGATAAGACTGTCAGAAAGCGTATCATAAGGGCCTGATAAGCTAAACCATCATATTACCAGACAACATATTAGTATGATACTGTGCCATTAATATCTTGACTATCCATTGATAATGCAAGAACCATGACAGATTTTGAATCCAAATGCAATTTCTAGGGTAAATAACAGCACATTCTGCAAGTAAGAAGTAAAAGTTCCAAAGAAAAACTGATTACAGTAGACATAGCAAGCAAAAAATGCTTTAAAGTGATGATCCCACACTTTAAAAAGCAGGCAAGCACAAAGAGAAGACAGTGAGCTACTGGAGAGTTAGTCCTGCAGCTCATGCCAGGGACCCTTGATCTGGTATTCAATTAAATATTTACACAAATTGTCACGGGGTGGAATTATGTGACCACCCTCGTTGAGCCGGAATAAAATCAAGGATGTACATTAGCATGCAGATAATCCAGCCAATAAAGGTTCTACCCAAAAAAAGAAAAAAAGCCCGAATGTATAACATGCTAATCATTAAATTTCTTGAAACAAAGAATTGAGTGAGTTCATAATGGCCTATTTTCCAAATCCCTTCTTCCTGTTACTGTGATATGCAACAAGAAAAGCAAATAAAAAGATATTAAGTTTCAGATATGGTAAACTTCCAAAATTTGACGCTTCATTTTTTTTTTCTTTTATGTTTCTATGCTTCTGACATCCAACAATGCATTTCGCGAAACGAATTTGCTAAAATTATGTAATCCTCAACAAACATTATTGATTCTGAGTAAAAACAAATAACCCTATTCCTGCTTGTTGCTCTTTAACCTTGCGTAGCAGAAAACTCATCCAGAAGACAAGTATAAGCAGCAACACTAAGAAAATGAAATAATAGACACTCACAATGTTAACCAAAAAAAAAAAATCAAGAGTATTTACCTCAAGCACTTGTTGTTTTGCCCGTTCTTCAAGTATTTTCTCCAAACTCTGTTTCTCACCCTCCAGTTTGGCAACATTATTCTCATGCTGTTTGATAGCCTCAATGGCTTTTGCTGCTGCTTTCTCTGCCAAAATCTGCTGCCTTCTCTTTCTCCTTTCTTCCCTCTCACGTTCACTGTCGGAGTCAGACGAGGAACCTGAATCCGTCTCTGAATCTGAATCTGCATTACTGGGTGACAAAGAACTCCTCTCCACAGAAGCAGACACTCTGGAACTGAATGTAGATCCATCAACAGCTATTGTTGAATTTGTAAGCCTTTCACGGTCACGAACTCCAGTCTTCAGATCCTGCTTCCCATCACGCTAACTGAATCATCCTTAGACAGCGAGTGCATGTCATGTCCTTTGACCCCTTCATTCTTTCTCTCCCTTGCAACATTCACATGCAAGTCCTTCTGATCTAAATCCCTTGTTTCCACAGTTCCCTCACCATTCCTTGGCTCACAGCTTGAACTTGAACTTCTAGATGCATCTTTACAATCACTAGCACTAATTCTACCCTCCAAACTCTCCAAACCATCACCATTGACCTTATTCCCCAACTCAGCATCCGACTTCCTCTCACTCTTCAAAACCTTTGTTTGACCCTTCTGACTCCTATTCCCACCGAATGCCACCGCATTCTTTCCAGCCCCCAACAAACTCCCCTGCTTCCTGCCATCCCTCCTCTCTCGTCTTAACCCCGACACTCCATTACTACTCCTACTGCCACCCAAAACCTCCTTTTTACTCGGCACACTCAACAATTCAGTCCAATCGCTATCTGTCAAATTAGTTTGATTGGCCTTACTGCTCGAAATCTTCTTATTCCCCAATACCACACCCTCCTTCTCCCTACTGTAACTTCCACTACTATTACTAACACCATAATTACTACTACTGCTACTAATTACATTTAAATTATCAATATTTTCCACTGATTTCTTCTTTAGCTGGTCTTTTAGCAATGGCTTTATTTCGCTAGGTTTTTTCGAGGTATCCAGCCCTAATTCTTCATCAGATCGCCGCTTTTCGTTTTTCTTAAGCGATTCCGCAGCTTGCTGATCGATCTGAGCCGGCAAATATTGAATTGAATGCGAAGACAAAACTTTATTAAATTGAACGCAACGAGAAGCATGTTACTTATGGATTGGTTGTAAAGTCCCTAATTGGGTTTGATTGAACAGTATTGTGGCCCTAATTGGATGTGTTTTATTGCTTATGAATCGTATGTGTAATTGTGGTTGGTAAGATGCAACTTGCTATTTTCGTTGTAGGTTGGAAAATAAAGAAATTTCCGGGAAATGCTGTCCGATCTTTGAGAGCATTTGATAGCTTTGATTTTGAGTTGAAGGACTTGGACTTGATCAAGGAACTGCATATGACGGATGAGGTACATGAGCTGTGGTTGGTGAGTGATCCCAAAACTGTACCAAAGCTACTTTTGAACATTTTCTTGCATTGTTTACTCGATTGCATATCATGTGTACTTGCATGTTAGTTCATGACATGATTTGGCTTCAATGAGTTCTTGGGAAGTCCTGTGCTTAGCACCAATGTCTCCGCCACTGTTTACTATTTATCTGGAGCACCAATGGCTCCCTATCACTGTTTCTCTATTAACTGATCAATTTGAGCGATGGATGCTAAGTACAATGATTTCACTGGCTCACGAGAGCAATAAACGTACACTTGATTTCTGATTCATGACATCATTGAAATGAACTATTATGAAACTGATTTGATTACTGATTTGACTGATTACTCGCAGAGTTTCTAGTTCACCCCAAAACTATTTTATTCCCTACCACAGGATTCGAAGCGAAGGAGGAGCTTGTAGTACTTATTCATATGACTGGATGGATTTATTTGATATTTAGATTGTAATTTGTTTGAGAACTGCAGTGAGTGATTGAGACCCGGTGAGTGCTGGACAGGCGGTCCGCCGAACCCTTTGATATCTAGTTGTGGTGCAAAATGGAGCTTGTATATGTTGGATACGATTGTTTGCAGAAAATTTCTGGTTTGTGCGGAAATTCCGGTTTTAGGGTTTAATTTGGGGCTTTCTTATGGATTGGTTGTAAAGTCCCTAATTGGCTTTGATTGAAGGGTATTGTGGCCCTAATTGGATGTGTTTTATTGCTTATGAATCGTATGTGTAATTGTGGTTGGTAAGATGCAACTTGCTATTTTTATTGTATGTTGGAAAATAAAGAAATTAAAGGGAAATGCAGTCCGATCTTTGTGAGCGTTTGGTTGCTTTAAGTTTGTGTTGAAAGACTTGGACTTGATCAAGGAACTGCATGCGATGGATGAGGTACATGAGCTGTGGTTGGTGAGTGATCCCAAAACTGTATCAAAGCTACTTTTGAATGTTTTCTAGCATTGTTTACTCGATTGCATATCAAAGCTACTTATGGATTGGTTGTAAAGTCCCTAATTGGCTTTGATTGAAGGGTATTGTGGCCCGAATTGGATGTGTTTTATTGCTTATGAATCGTATGTGCAATTGTGGTTGGTAAGATGCAACTTGCTATTTTTATTGTATGTTGCAAAATAAAGAAATTAAGGGGAAATGCTGTCCGAACTTTGAGAGCGTTTGGTTGCTTTAAGTTTGTGTTGAAGGACTTGGACTTGATCAAGGAACTGCATACGATGGATGAGGTACATGAGCTGTGGTTGGTGAGTGATCCCAAAACTGTATCAAAGCTACTTTTGAACGTTTTCTTGCATTGTTTACTCGATTGCATATCATGTGTACTTGCATATTAGTTTATGACATGATTTGGCTTCAATTAGTTCTGGGAAAGTCCTGTGCTTAGCACCGATGTCTCCACCACTGTTTACTGTTTATCTGGAGCACCAATGGCTTCCTATCACTATTTCACTATTAACTGATCAATTTTTGTGATGGATGCTAAGTACAATGCTTTCACTGGCTCACGAGAGCAATAAACGTACACTTGATTTCTGATTCATGACATCATTGAAATGAACTATTATGAAACTGATTTGATTACTGATTTGACTGATTACTCGCTGAGTTTCTAGTTCACCCCAAAACTATTTTATTCCCTTCCACAGGACTCGAGGCGAAGGAGGAGTCTGTAGTACTTATTCATGTGACTGGATGGATTACCTCATGTACAGTTTGAATTCGCACCCCTCTTGTGTAATAGCTAGGGTTATTTGAATGTTTAGAGTGGATCGGATGTGTGTGTAAGTTCCACGCTTGGGAACTAGTTTCTGCTTCGTTTATGATATGTAAATTGGTGGAACCATTGATGTATATTTGATATTTATATTGTAATTTATTTGAGAACTCTAGTGAGTGATTGAGTCCCGGCGAGAGCTGGACTGGCGGTCCGCCGAACCCTTTGGTTCGCCTTAGGGATAGTGGGGCCGTCACAGTTGGTATCAGAGTTTAGGCCTAAGATCTCCGTAGTGTATCCTGGACGTAAAGTTTAGGATGCCGGACTGTGGATCCGATTTGAAATGTCAGTGATTTCTTCTAGGAATGAAAAATTTGATAAGTGAGATTAGAGTAACTCTTACTGCTTGCTTGGAAGTGCTTGTTTGACTTTTGTGGGATATCTTGATCTGATTAGTACAAGTTGGAATGTCGAGGACGGCATTCTTTTAAGGAGGGGAGTTTGAGACGCTCGGAAGAAGGAAAAGGAAAAAAAATTCTGGTTCACTTCGTTTTTGGCCAATCCGGCCGGAAATCCGACCAGTTTTTGGCCGGATACCTGGCCAGATTGCCTTGGAATTTTGAAAAAAAATTATTTTACCGTTGCCTTGAATCTGGACAAGAATCCGGCCGGAAATCTGGCCAGATTCCGACCGGATTGTGACGTGTCACAGTCGGTCATCAACTTTGTCCGGCTGTTTCCTTCATTCTTATCCAACTTTTGCCCAAAATATCTTCCATTTCTTCACCTGGCTTGTCCGTGCATCATAGAGAGAAAAGCTCTCAATTTTCCTAGTTTTAATCTTTGCCAAAATCTTGAGATTTCATCGATGGTTTTGGAAACTACTCCATACATGGGCTCACCATGGAAGTTTGAAGAAGTTGATGGAGTTGTTTTGGAAGGGGAAGCTTTCAGGTGCTATCTTTCCTGAGTTTATGAGGTGAGTTACTAAGAAAGTACCCCTTTTGTTTTAATAATGATATATTAGTGGGTTGTTGTGCTTAAATATGTTGTATTGTGGATGATTTTATGATTTTAAGTAAAATTGGACCAATTTTTGATTTATTGGGTAATTTTTTGATTTTATATGATTATGGTATGTTGGTCATGGAACGATAGCTTGTTGTGGTTTAAAATGGAGCTTGTATATGTTGGATATGATTGTTTGCAGAAAATTTCTGGTTTGTGCGGAAATTCCGATTTGAGGGTTTAATTCGGGGCTTTCTTATGGATTGGTTGTAAAGTCCCTAATTGGGCTTGATTGAACAGTATTGTGGCCCTAATTGGATGTGTTTTATTGATTATGAATCGTATGTGTAATTGTGGTTGGTAAGATGCAACTTGCTATTTTCGTTGTAGGTTGGAAAATAAAGAAATTTCCGGGAAATGCTGTCCGATCTTTGAGAGCATTTGATAGCTTTGATTTTGAGTTGAAGGACTTGGACTTGATCAAGGAACTGCATATGATGGATGAGGTACATGAGCTGTGGTTGGTGAGTGATCCCAAAATTGTACCAAAGCTACTTTTGAACATTTTCTTGCATTGTTTACTCGATTGCATATCATGTGTACTTGCATGTTAGTTCATGACATGATTTGGCTTCAATGAGTTCTTGGGAAGTCCTGTGCTTAGCACCAACGTCTCCACCACTGTTTACTGTTTATCTGGGGCACCAATGGCTCCCTATCACTGTTTCACTGTTAATTGATCAATTCGAGCGTTGGACGCTAAGTACAATGATTTCACTAGCTCGTGAGAGCAATAAACGTACACTTGATTTCTGATTCATGACATCATTGAATTGAACTATTATGAAACTGATTTGATTACTGATTTGACTGATTACTCGCAGAGTTTCTAGTTCACCCCAAAACTATTTTATTCCCTACCACAGGATTCGAAGCGAAGGAGGAGCTTGTAGTACTTATTCATGTGACTGGATGGATTTATTTGATATTTAGATTGTAATTTGTTTGAGAACTGTAGTGAGTGATTGAGTCCCGGTGAGTGCTGGACAAGCGGTCCGCCGAACCCTTTAATAGCTAGTTGTGGTGTAAAATGGAGCTTGTATATGTTGGATACGATTGTTTGCAGAAAATTTCTGGTTTGTGCGGAAATTCCGGTTTTAGGGTTTAATTTGGGGCTTTCTTATGGATTGGTTGTAAAGTCCCTAATTGGCTTTGATTGAAGGGTATTGTGGCCCTAATTGGATGTGTTTTATTGCTTATGAATCGTATGTGTAATTGTGGTTGGTAAGATGCAACTTGCTATTTTTATTGTATGTTGGAAAATAAAGAAATTAAAGGGAAATGCAGTCCGATCTTTGTGAGCGTTTGGTTGCTTTAAGTTTGTGTTGAAAGACTTGGACTTGATTAAGGAACTGCATACGATGGATGAGGTACATGAGCTGTGGTTGGTGAGTGATCTCAAAACTGTATCAAAGCTACTTTTGAACGTTTTCTTGCATTGTTTACTCGATTGCATATCAAAGCTACTTATGGATTGGTTGTAAAGTCCCTAATTGGCTTTGATTGATGGGTATTGTGGCCCGAATTGGATGTGTTTTATTGCTTATGAATCGTAGGTGCAATTGTGGTTGGTAAGATGCAACTTGCTATTTTTATTGTATGTTGGAAAATAAAGAAATTAAGGGGAAATGCTGTCCGAACTTTGAGAGCGTTTGGTTGCTTTAAGTTTGTGTTGAAGGACTTGGACTTGATCAAGGAACTGCATACGATGGATGAGGTACATGAGCTGTGGTTGGTGAGTGATCCCAAAACTGTACCAAAGCTACTTTTGAACATTTTCTTGCATTGTTTACTCGATTGCATATCATGTGTACTTGCATGTTAGTTCATGACATGATTTGGCTTCAATG